GTGTCTTAATAATCTGGTTAGCGGTAGATATCATTCGTTTATTATCACTACTGTACCAAAACGAGGTACCCAGCTTCGGCTTCACCTTGCGAGTCTACCGGCACTGGTAGTAATCAGCCCGTAATAGTTAGTCCGATCTCCGGTCAGATAAGGTAACCAATTCACCTTTGCATTCCAATCCCATACCTTACCTCCCGGCTCCTCCCTCAACAAGGCGAATCCCCACGATAAAAACAACCCTGAATAAAGATGACCCAAACCCTGAAAATGAACCTCCATTCAAACCATTATCCCTACGATACTAAACCTCGAGCAGAGACACAGGGCACCCCGTGGTCCATACGTTGTAGATCATATGAGCCGGAGTTGTTCCGAACAAACCACCGAGGCAGCCCCAATGGTATGCATGGTAGCAGATATTTGATGATATCACACCAGAATCATGAAGAAACCCCTTTGCGGCAGCGTAGGCTGGGAAAAGTAACCAACAAGTTTCAAGTTGAATGATCGCCATCAACAAAACGGTTTTTTTTATCTGAAGCTCATATAAGTACAGCTAGACACCTGGTGCATTGATCTATAATTATAATTTCCGGAAACATGAACTGGAAGATCTTGATCTTTTGATTTGAAGTTGGAGCATTTTGTATGGGGGCATCAAGTGATTGCCGCCTCCAAATCGTAGGTAGAAACAGGCTTAGTCACATATTTTCAGTTTTGCACATTTTTGTCGTTAAAGATGAACTTTGTGAGTTTCGTGACCCCTGCAAGAAAAAGCTCGCTGGTTTCATTTGCTTTGTGGACACTTTGGCGCCAAGGCTGCACAATCTCAAAAGCATCTTGACACCAAGGTGTCCGCATAGTAAATAAAATGGTGAGTGATCAAGTACTGTACTCAAGTCGCCCGATTGAAGTCGCATTTCCTATGGCGGTATAATACATCTTGGCGTGATAACGAGGGTGTTTTGCGAGCGGAATTCAAAGTACCAGATACAAGTTCCATAAAGCACAATGAAGATATCTATGGGCATGTGAGATGAACCGGATGCGTGAGAAAGAGGTAACACAGCAGCTGTCCCTTATGCCCATATTCCCTACTTTCCCATCTGCCTATATTTAGGACTCCCATGACTCGCATCAGAAGTGGAACTTTTGGGACTAAAAGGCTCCAGCATGACCTTGCTGCATTTTGTGTCCAGTGCTATTGTGTAGAGATGGCATTTATCTTCAATTTGGTGTACCTTTGGTGTACAGCACCTTTGGTGCTGTTCAGGTAGGTATTGGTCAATGAATAAGCAGAATAGAAATATTGTTCGCTGACGGTGCAATTTTACTGAACTCCCTTAGGCTCAGATGTGGTGAGACAACACTTATATCCCAGCGCTGGTAAAGCAGATATTGCAAAAGGTTTCACTGGAGGATGCGAAAACCGGGCCATATGGCGTTCTTGGTAATGGGGTAGACGGCCCGGCTTTTGAGACATGTACACTTGGGCATAGCTCTTGATATGAGATGGGTTATTTGACCCTTATTTCTTTCAACCAATGCGCAATCTCGCATATCGGGGCTAAATGAGGGAAATACGTGGAGTGCGTATTATGCTGTTCTCTGGGAGAATATCGGAAATAATAGGGAGACCTGGGAAAGCTTTTCCGGGATTTCTAGCACGGTGGGTTTGCGGGTATTTTGCAAGGTTCCTTCCCCTTCCTTCCCCAAGAGGGCGAACTCTGTGCTATTTCCTTGTTATCGGGAGGATAGCGTTCCGCTAGCCTCTATAGTCTGTTTTGAAGGCATAAGTGGTAAAGTAATGCCTCTGTTTCTTACTCCCGGCAAAAAACCTGGTATGATACGATCTATTGGAATAGGGTAGGATAGGCTGTCAGGGCCAGGCTACATTTATTTAGTATGTTAATTATTATGATACCAATAAATCACCAAAAAATTCCGGCCTTAGCACTACACAAGCACAATGGGATGTCATTAATAGCTTCGACACAAAACATCTTTTAATCCTAAGAAACGGCAACTAACTTACTGCAGAGACGGAGTAAGGGGGGTCGAAAATATCACTGCAAATATCCCCCTTTGGCTCTGATGATCATCAGAGTGTCCCTTGGCCTCTCTCAAGGAGTCAAATTTTATGCTAGAACAATATTGGTTTTGTCATTGCCGGGAACATTACTCGAGTACGCCAATCAAGAGAGCTGAGTTATCAAAACACTGAGAGGACTAAAAATCCGATTCTCTAATCGAGTTTAGCTAAGTATTGCCAAATCTAGCCATAGTGTAAGGGATTACGAATTAGACTGTTTTAGAGATACCAATGGAAACTTGGCTTAAGCTATCGATATCAGGCCCAGTATCCAATATTATACTAGAGTATCACAGTATGATTACTTTCTCTCATGCGATACTCTTTAAACGAAATGTTAATTATGGTATAAAAGAATGAATGAATGATGGATAAATAACATAACGAAGCACTCCAATGGTCACCAGGTAGCGTCCTCCCTTCCCAGCACCGCCCAGATCTCACTAGGGGTTTCACGACAATCTACTGGCTTCTCGGAGACTCCTCCATACAGTCCTCTCAGCATAAACTTAGACAAACAGTTCATGGCACCGGCCGGCCCAGACAACAGCACCTGGCCCTAGCCGACTTGATGATTAATGACCCATTCTCTGTCAGCAGACTGTAAACGGACCTCACTAGAATCCAGGACTTTTGCAGTGGGGAAAGTTGGGCACACTCCTCAAACCTTACCATGTCTGGGGTAGACCAGGTTCACCTGTTGGAATGCCTATCGGGCATATGGTTATGCGGTTATGCGGTCATGGAGATATGAGGATATGTGAATTAGGTTGATGCTTGTTGGGATTATGCATCATATACCGGGCACCAGGTTTTGTGGATTCTTTCACCCTTCTTCATTGATAATCACTCGTTTTCGATCCCATTTCTTAGTTGATGCAACCAAAACATCTCGCTAGGGACCAGGAGTCGAACCCCGAGAATACCTGTTTCTGCCACACGAATTCCAAAAGGGAGTCTCGATATGCATTAACCCTGAAATACAGTCCGTACGTGCAGCACACCATATCATAGGACAGTTTGTATGCGAAGCCCCAATTAGCGTAATCGTGCTCTTCAAAGTGCCAATGCTAACGAATCCTTAGAATCTCAAATTCCTAATTCCTATGGCTGCTTACCCCCACATTCACCTATCCTTCCCCCGCAGCGCCGCAGGACCTCCGATACTCAAACAATCCTCCAGTTTAAACACCATTCAGAAACGATCCGCACAGCGAGTGCCGTTCCATGAGTTTTTCCTTTTCTAGGTTTGAGATCACCCTAAATTTAAGAGTCCTCGAGAAGCTGGTCATTCCATATTTGGAGACTCTACAAGATTCCTAGTAGGAAAGGCTGGAGTAGATAGATACCTGAGATAGAGAGAGCGTAGTGCATACCTCACCAGATTGCCCCAAGGAATTGAACATGAGCGAGAATGGCGTACCAAGCAATCTTGCCGACAGGACATCCATCGCCCGGGAGACAGAGAGTGTTAATCGGTTTAGTTCCTTCAGAAACAGAAAAAAAGTGCTGATTAATGTATGCGTTTGATATTAGATTTTCCACCATTAGGTGATCGATTGGTTTCATAGAGCTTCGTCCAGACTAACAGGATGTGCGCACGTTGGAACAACTAGTGCGTGTCATATTAAAGATCACATAATGAACCACCTTTTGATCCCGGTGGAGTCAGTTCCATGCCTGACCCAGAGCAGATGGTTTTCATCATTGTTAAAAGTAGGGCCTGGCTGTAATACTCTACACAAAAAGTAGCCATTTTCAGGGGCTTAGAGTTGACACTACCTAGATAAGTGATTTTGAGTAGCTGTAAGGGTCATGAAAACAACTAGTTCTTTCCAGAATGGAAGAATGGGGCCTGGAAATTCATAACCCGTGACGTTTTATGTCACCGGTATGGTGCGGTAAGACCTACGAGTAGCATGAGACTTTTTACTCCACGGTGGTGAGATGGGAAAAGTGTGGTATGATACTCAACAAGCAGCTTTGCTCTTGGTTGTCGGTAATTTCCCAATCCCATGAACCTTCAACTAAATGTCCTTCGTAGCTGCTCTCTACTCGAGTGCACGCTTCCAGGTTTGGGTCGACCTAAAAATGAAGTACTGAGTTGGGGATGAGAAATGGTCTGTAAAGGGGGATCGGTTTTGGCGAGTTTTTCGCCCCTTGTATGATATTTTTGGTATGATATCGTGAAAAAAAAAAGGAGCGGTTGGGAGTGCCCTATTTAAGCATTTATAATACGCTAATATTAGAATAGCATCTCAGTATGATAAGATCCTGACCTAACAAATTTCTACGCATGATACCATGCCAAAGTTCAGTTTCAAAAGTTCAGAGTTCTCGCGATCCCGGAAATGATAATCGAGTGATATTCAAAGCATGCAGCTTTGTCTACTCGTATAGTACTAGTACATTCTTCCAAACCGGTGCAGGCTAATCTGTGGCTATTTCTAAAATTAGTTCTAGCTATTGGTGTGTTAATGCCTGGGCCAGGCCGATGTTCCATATTTAGAGTAGCGGTGCCTAGACCCCATCAGTAGGTCGGTTCGGGTTGTAGAAACCAAATCAATGATGTATTCATGGGTAATAACTCTGCCAGAAATTCCCTATCCCGTTCATTGATAAACCCATCTAACCGAGTGCACACCTCGGCTTGTATCTAGATGAACTATAAAAGTGAAACGTGGCCAAACGATCGAATGTGACTGCTCGGGCTCCTATAAACTGCACATAAACTACTTTTCCCACAATACCAACTTCGATCAGGAATATTTACTTGCGAATACCTGGCTGGGCAGAGCATCGCTCAGCGGGTTGAGAGCTCTTGTTACAATAAACCACTTACGATGTAAGCTTTTCTTACTCTTCTCTGGCAAACTTAACATTGCAAAAACAATTTGTTCCCTCCAACATGCTAACCCTTGAGAAAGCCCACCCAGGTTCAGAAAGGATGGATCCTCTCCCGACGGACGGAGAGATATTAGCCCTCCAGAAACTGGCCGAGCGAAACGAGAGGAGGGTCGAACGCCTAGGCATAAAACTCTACGAACTAGAATCAAAAGGCCTATCCAGAGAGCAAGCAGACAGGAAAATTGTGCGATACTTGATGAAAGCGACCGAGTTTGTGGAGGCAGTCAACGAAAGAGTAGAAATGGCATGCGCAGGAAAGCTCCCTGCCCAAGCAACCGTCCAATCAGTCCAGCAAATGGTGGGCTCGGTAGATGCTTGTGTGCGCCGAGTAGACGGCCAGCTTTACCTCCTGCACACTTCGCGGCCATTCAGCCCCCTTCTCGAAGAGATATTAGGCGTTATGAGCTCCCAGTTGCCCTCGGAGGGAGAATCCAATGGAGTTGGGAACGCTACTGGGCCTCGGGCGGGATTTATGGATAGGCTGTGTAGATCCATCCGTTTTCTTGTCTGAGGCGAGCGGCACGGGGAGCGGTGTTTCACGCTGGGACTCCAGGCAATCATTTTGATATCTTGTCTCTGGTAGTTCCAGATCCCGTGACCCTAGTGTAGACTCAGAATACGAGAAACCACTCTGAGGTTTATCCCTGTATCACAGAGAAAAACCTTCATTTGTGGAATTTTATTATGCATTGAGGGTTACTGTACCGGTATATAGACAAGCGAAATTTTTGCCGATCCTCCGTTCAAATATCCACCAAGTGAGTAGTAAATTCCAGCAAATATTTTGGAGTTGAAGGAAGTAGGTGTGTTGTGGTTGATCATAGAGATAATGAGTACATGGCATATCGTTCCAAGTTACCATGGTTTACGGGAAAGGCACTCCAGGTATGTCTTCCCCTTATTATGGAAGTGTGTAAGGGGATAGGTGGATACTTGGAGGCAAAGAGATATGTCTTGCGATCCTTAGAGGGGTCAAGAGAGTTTCACTTTGTTTTATATATATACTGTCTTTACCGTTAGTTTAGAGATCGAGGATAAGATTATTGCCATACATTTCCCACGCACCCTCTTCCGCTGCGCCATTTATCATTTACATCAAGAAAATGCATTGAAGACCGGTGCGTGATTGATGGTGGGCAATTTCTTAGAAGAAAAGAGTGTCATCTGACCATATAGGGTGCCTACCTACTTAGAGGTTATTTTAATGATTTCCTACTCATGCATATGTCGTGATTAAAGGAGAACCCAAGCAGCACAGCGAGCCAAGTGAGACAGAAATTATCATTCTCACCAACCCACCATAATGGACCCGGAAGTAGGCCGGATGGGGAAGTGATCAGCTGGGGCGGGCCAAAAAAGGAGAAATCCGGAAATCCCAATTGACGTACAGCAAGGAGGAATTCAGAAAAGAAGATAAGCCTAACAGCACAGCACAGTTTGTTTGATACACCCACTTTTGTGTTTAATCGGGGCCCGACCCTGTCACAATCCACATATGAATAGATCCAATCCCGCTCCTAAACCACTTTCTGGCCGAATGCATTGCTGTGCGCCTTTAGAGCTTCCATCTTTTCTCCAACGACAAATAATGGGAAAGCCATCAAACATTGCCACAATTTACCTCTTTATTACAAAACCATAACTACCAAAAACGCGCTTCCAACATTTTACAAGTAGAATCTCGAACAATTGAGCCGCGTGCTAGGTGGTCCAAGAATTTCTCTTGTGGAAAAGGGGCTGGGGCAGGCGGGGGAGTTGTTGGGCCTCTCTGAAATTTAAAAAGGATAACAGAATTTGGCGTCAACCCTAATGACAGAGCACTGTGCATTGCTAGGGTTGGGGAGGGCCGGGCGTACTTCTAGAGGGTGATGTGTCCATTGAGATTAGCCCAACATTACGAATATCGAGTGAGATTTCATGAGAATAATTTCGTAAGCGGGAGTCAGTACCAGGCATATGTCTTAAATAATAATATTACAGAAGTGGGGATTATATGTAAACTAAAATAATTTTGGAGGAATAGGGTATATATCTAGTGATTGTAATTACCAGCTATTTATAATATTGGCATAAAGTCAAATTATAAACTCTCCTTAGAATTTATTTATTAAATTTTATTGTATAGTGCTCAATTATTATAATATTGCTAAGGTTATTGTAATAGTAGAAGATAGTCAGATAAAATAAAATCTACTAATATTAATCAATTTATAAGTAATTAATAAATTAAGTTATTTGAATTATTACATACTTGGAGGAATTAGGTTTTACATAACTTAAAGTTAAAAGCTGTAATGATACCCCTTTGGATGATTAGTTCTTGGCAATGGGGAACAATACTTCTCTTCTTCTTTCTTCTTCTCATCTTATGATAGCACTAGGCCTCTGCCTACGTTACCGATAGTTTAAGACCATTGGCTTTTACTGAGAATGCCTATCATAAGCTTTCTCTAACTTTTCTTCATAAAGAGCTTTTCTTGATGTGATAATAATAAAGATCATGGTAGTGATAAAGAGAATAAAGGTATTTTATATTTGTTAAAGTAATAAATAGGAAAAGTACTTAGAATTTAATCTAATTTTATTTAAACTCATATCATCAACACTGGCATATGATGAGCCCTCGCCGGCACAGGGATACTGCTAACCGGTATACTACTAATCCTAAACTAACCAAGTCTATGCTTCCACACCTGCCATCCCCAAGTCATGCCTACATGAGAACTAATTACAAGACCATCAAAAACCCAGCACTCTCCCTAATACAAGTCCATAGCTCATCTTGTATGAAGCCAACCAGCACTAAGTGTAGCTGAAGCCAAACAAGAGACCGACCCGACAAGGTTCCTCATCCAAAAATTATAAAATCACTACACCCTGTCCAAATACTGTCCTGCAAAGCCTCCACCACAGTAGAAAACCAAAAAACTATCTAACAATATAGGTAGCACAATGGCAGGGAGGAGGCGACCAACATGTCCACCTCTCGTGCCTGCATGCCAGGCCATTGACCCTAAGAACCTACTTTGCAATTTACCTCTGAAGAGAATCCTGGTGAGGTAGACCTGTACCTGCTGCCTGTAAACCAAACTAACACAACAAATAAAAGAAATACATAGAGGTAGTAACAGACTGAAATGGTCAGTGGGACCTATCTCCCACCCATGGTGCCTTACCTCCTCCTGCCATACCCGCAGCTAAACTAAAGAAGCCAAACAAACCCCACAAAGTCTAACCCACAAGACCCAAACAAGTCCAACCAGGTGATCAGAACCAACTATCTGCACAGGTGGCCGTCAACCCAGCCGGTTCATCATGGAGTATTACAGCACTCAGTAGCCTCACCTAACAGCTCAATCCAGACTGGAAATGCTTAATTAAACCCCATCCAACCTGATGCGAGCCCAACCGGTACTTGCAGATGCCTCTTTCCCCCAGTCAGCCCCCCCCAAGCCCCATACACCAGGTGCCACAGAGCCCATCAGTAAAAATAATTACCTGTATCCTGTGCATCCTGTGAGTCTAATACATGGGACATGCAAAATGTGAACTGCGAATCAGGACACGATGTCGCTTGGACATTGCATCCTGACTTTCCTTGTGTCCCGACCCACGTCCTGAAGATATCCTGACATGGACCCCTACATCCTCTGTGTCCTGATAATGCCCCTCACCCTGGCATCTGTATCCAGACAACCTCGGATCCTCCAGGCTCGTATCCGGTCAATATCGGACCCTGTTTGTCTACATCAGGACAACATGTGATCGGACTGCCTATGTTAGGACAACGTCATTCCACTGGGGTTCCATCCGGACTACATCCCCTGCTCGCCTGTTTAAACATGATATTATTTGCCTTGCATTCAAATGTCCAGATCACCTCACTCTTCTGTACTATCTAAATACCATGATGTTTCCCTTCTATACCCAGAGTCTTTCACCCTACAACTCACCTTGCTGGGACATTCGCCTTGCCCCAGTATTCTCATCCTGTTCGCACTATTAGTCATCTGGACATCCTCTAGATGCCTTCAGTGTGTGCTAAATTCTTCCTGACCCGTCCCCAGCTCTACCCTCTTTCCTGTAATTCTCCCACCTTCCTGCAAATATTTTTATGTATTGCATCGTTGTCGTACTCAATTCTACTAGTACAGTTGAATATTGGACGCAATTTTCCTTTCATATATGCCTCCATTCATCTACTTTTCACTCTTCGCTATCGATGCTGCACATCAGCTCAGCCCGAAAGGTAAATCTACTAAAAGTGATATTTATATGTCTGTAATTCCCATTTATTACCCAGGGTAACTCTAACTGGGCTCCCTCTCGTTAACATCCTGCTACTGATTACCAAATCCTACCAGTGGTCCTTCACCTTTCTCAGATTCCTCAAGGCTGAGCGACCGGTGACCAGGCTGAAAAGTACTTATCAGGCTCACAGTCATCGATTTTCAACTCCCCTCTGGTGAATGTCCAGAACTTGCTGGATCTGAAACCAGAAGTCCTAGTGCCCGGGCAATCAAGGTCTGGCTATAATCAAATGATGTCTCTGTTTCTTGTAACTGTCCTGGTCTTTCCCAGTACTCCTCCAGGGTAAAGGGATCCAGCCTGGTCTGATGTGGCACTGGTAGTAAGGGTATCTGGTCACTTATTCGATCCTTGAGCTCTGCACTGAGAGCACCCCAGTCATCATCATACTCCTCATGGCGGTCTTGCTTCATGCCGTGAATCTGCCCAACTGTTTTCTGGATTGTCTGCTATATGTATTTGACAATTGTGTCCTAGACCCCTGGTGCGTACTTTGTCCATAGTTTTTTCTGCCATGCAAAAAGGTCTTTGGTATCCTGTGACAAGTTAGTGGCTTGGTCGCGAATCATGTGTTACGAGAGTGCCGGAATCTTACCTCCAACTACCTCAGGCTTGAAGTCCCTTGGCTCCTGATAGATTCCCGATTCAAATATTCTCGTACGTAGTTGAGATGAGATAATAAGACGTAC